AAAAAAAAAAAAAAAAAAAAAGTGAGGATCTACTCTCGGAGGAAACACAAAGAAGAATAGATACTGAATAAATCCATCAAGTAGTAAGTAGTTAGTCTAGTCAAGCACTAGACCTAGAGAGAAGCGCACTACTGCATGGAAATGGGACACAGGGGCCACTGCCACGAGGCCGTCTTCTCTGGGGGTCAAACTCAACTGGGAGTACGTACCCGTACCCTCCTTTAACGCCATCATCCATGGTTACTATCGAGCCATATTTTTGAGTCATTAAAGCATGGCTATTGAACAGTTCCCCGACTTCTGTTGAATGTCAGGTACCAAACTTGAGATTACTCGACCATCCAATAGTACTTCAAATAAATACCCTGTTTGAATGAAATATTATTCTCTAGCCTCTTTTTATCCTCCTCCAGAAATATTCGAGTCGACAGAAATACACACATATACACTCTTTATACATATGGTCTTTTTCGGTACGCATCGCCATTTGTTTACAGGTATAAGACAATAGGTAGATGGTACATATATCCCTGAAGCTCGTCCGCTGTGTAGCCTTGTGATCCCCATTGCGGCGGAGGCAGCACCTTTGTGATCAGACCCTGTTCATGTTACTCGACGTATATAGTAACGGAACGTGCGCTATCCAAGATACTGCACCTTCGTCAGTCCAGATGATGATTGTTATCGTCACCTCTCGCTTAAAATTCTCGCTCACTCTTTTACCTTCATCAGTTCTACACCTTCCCTTTTAATTCTCTACTCCGTAAAGTTTGGAGCGGAATAGCCGAGAGATCTGCCCTTTTAGAAATTGTTAAGGACTTATCTTGGCAATCCTCTTGTCGATCTGACCTGGCGATACAGTACGGAGTACATACAAAGACGGCTAGGGTGAGGGTCTTAATGTCTAATTCTTCTTTTTTAATTTTTTTTCCCCTTCCCTTTGCTTTGCCTACCCCCCGCCCCACTCTGCATCTGCGTGTCGAGCCGGGGACCGGACATTGAAAGGACCTCATAAATGGAGCCATGCTAGCCGATGGAGGCTTAACTCAAAACAGGGTAGGGCCTGTTTGCCAGAACTTCCATCGGCCACGGGGGTCCCCACTTTTCAAGGTAGAAAGTCAAAGATCCATATTTGAATTAGGTAGTCCAACGGGGGAAACTTTGTAAGTTGGGTGTCTGCCTGTTTGAAACTTAGCCCCGGGGAGGAGGGGGTGTGCTGCATAATGGGGTGGGTGGTAGTGGAAAATAAGTAAAACCGGTAGGGAGGGGGAAGGAAAAAACGATCTTGAAAAATAAAAATAAAAATAAAAAAAAGACATTTCTCCCAAATGGAGGATGGATGGTGGAATCTATTTGCAGTTGCCCCTTTGGTGCTTAGTGTCAATTAAAAGCACCAGCTTGGACCAACCGGGAAGTGGGGCCCAACATCCATTGGAGGGGGGGAAGTAGATCCAGTTCTAATCAACGTATCAGAATGCCAGAAACCGCCATGGCAAATGCATCCTCCACGCCTGCAAATTGTCCCGTGGCCTGAAGAATTTCGGCACCTCCAAATCCGTACCCATGGCGCTGGTTGATGAAAGAACACGTTGTTGTATGGGTCAAACATTCCTCGACGAGGGGTAACAAGGGATGGTACTGGACTTGGCAACACCACAAAGTAAGGGAAGGCCTTTCTCTTCTCCATTTGAGAATCAATTATTACATCATGGGACTGAGATCTCCGCGTCATTGGAATTTGAAACTCGTTATACTTTTCCCCGACAGCGTGTTTGTCTCGGTCGCATGGAATCATACAACACGATGATTGAATCATTGCCATGGGGTGGGCGATTGGATCATGCCTTAATTAATTAAGTACTATTATTATTGTTAAGCTCCGCGGATGTACACGATAAAATACGAGTCGATCGTATCCATGTTGGTCCGTACTCGATCTAGACTGCTGTATTAACGATTAGCCACATAATCAGCACCGAACGTTGTCCGTACTTATGAAAGGGTTAAGCAACAGGGCCTAATTTGTCCTAATTTTTCCGACCTTGCAGGATAATATTATGGGTATCAATGAGCAGTTGATAGTAAGAGGAAAAAAGATAAATTTACCACGGTATTCGTATGACGTTAAGTGACTGGTTATCGCAGGTTGGAAAAGGGTAGGGAATAGAGAAAATATAATTACAAAATAATATGAATGATAATACGCACTGGGAGGGTTAAGTGACAAAAATAAAAACAAAAATAAAAAATATGAAAGGAACAACCCCATTCATACTTAGTCCTCGACCTCCTCGGTCGGCCACGATCTCGATACAGACTGCTTTCACGTGGCCGCACTGAACGATCGTCCTCAGGGGTTCCACGGGCTGCGAACTACCGTTACTGTAATGTACTCGGTGGCACTTGGATGAGTGAAAAAAGTACCCCGTACCTCCTTGCAGAAGCTGAGCGCTCAGTCAGCACTGGTCATTCAGAAATATGCTTCTGTCAGATCATTTTGCCTGATGGGATTCGGACTGGGCGTCTGGTTGGGGTCTTGCTCAAGAGGTTCCCTGATGCTGAAATACACGCTCTGGGTACCGGATGGTTGATGCTAACCGCCGTTTCTGTGGATTATTGTCCACTATATGTTGGTTGGTATGCATACATACATATCATGCACAAAGCGGGAAATACTATGTATAGATCATACAAGGTCATACCTTGTATGTACCAACGTGTCATGACAGCTCCGCACACGCCGAATCGATGCATTAGCGACCGGGGCAGCCTCCCAGGAAGGTGATAAAATACCCTGGGATAATATAGCGTCGTATATACCGACTAAAGGAGCTTAGTATGGTAACCTCTGGGCACTGTTCTTTTGGTAGTTTTTCCCATAAATCCCGCTCAATACTTCTCTCTCTCTCCCTTGCTCCCAACCAGTCAAGGAAAGGAAGAGTAAAGCTTCGTGAGTCGGGAATGACGACAGAAAGAAGAGTATTTTGACTTTCAGCGAGGGAAAAACACATGGCAACCACGGTGGAATGATCGCCGCTAAGAAAAACTTGGTTTGTCACTCAAGGTTCTGGACTAGCCGTCGGTGTTCACTGGTCCAGCCACTGAGCAAGCCAAGAATCCAGGAAGAAAATGGTGCGTGGTTCTAAGTCACTAGTAGACAAGTGTCTTGCTTATTTGAGTAGTATATTCTCTAGTCCTGCCACAGGGAGAAAAAGGAAAAGGAAAAGGAAAAGGAAAAGAAAGAAATGGTGGTGGAATGGAACAGTACTCATGCAACCATCCATCCACCTCTTGACACATCAAAAAATTTAGTAAACTTTCTTTTCTTTTCGTTTCTTAATCTTCTCATGGAGCACCCAAGACTTTCATCTCTGAGGAGATGGAACGCAAACACTTGCAACCATGTCAGGAGGCGCCAATACTAGCCATGAAGCCAGCAGCTGCATTCATAGAGTATCATCACCCCGCTTGGGTGGAATGTGACCATGCATACATGCATATACACATGTGGACAATGTGCAGATAGTACTAGTAGGGTGCATCGTTGAACCGGGGCATGATCGACTACTTTCCCCATCCTCCCTTCCCACCCTTACCTACCAAGGGAATCAGTATTACTATACGGGCTATAGTATTATTCACTACTTTGGATTCCCTCCAAAACCCAAGTAGCCAAGCCGTTGTCATATCCACCATGATGGATGATCGCCATGCTAGTCTCATCCCTTCCTGTCCATATGGGACCTGGAAATGTTCAAATTATGTGGCGTCACTCGGTGGGATTGGCGCTTTACTGACTTTTGGCGTGGCCATTGTTAGACAGGTGTTACATCCCAATGCTGTGCCCTTACTCATGTCTTTGCGAAGTCTTGGAAGCTGATTCTGATTCATTAACACAATGTGTCAGATAATGGTCAATGGAAGAACAAATGCACCGTCATCCGCTAGTCAGACAATCTGTACCTGAGAACTAAGTGACACCCCGTTATCTCAGCCCTTTTCCGTCTGGGTGTGTATCCTCCGAATGTGTATCATCCGAACAGTGCAAGGACCATCACCTTTTCTGTATTTCTCTTGTCGGCAACAGTACCGAAATTCTAACCTTCCTGGTTTATTTCTATTTTTTATTTTCTTTATTTTTTTTTAATTTTTTAATTTTTTTCTCTCTAAAAGTTATTAAGTCCACGCGGTCGAGAAAAGGGCGGCCAGTGCTAAAGGACTGCAGATCTGACAACAAGCCCCCCCCCAAGTTAGCGCAGGTAACCCATCAAATCAGATCCCCCACCCAGACGCCATGGTGGTACGAGGTACAGATCATTCCCACGGAGTTTTTTGTACCATTCGACTAACTACAATGGGTACCAAAACCTAGGCTAATTCCTGCACCATCTTCGCCTCGAAAATCTGTCCTGTAACCCCGAATCAGAAAGTAATTGGGCAAGCATGTCAGAGTGACACGGCGCCATCACCCATCATGCCGGAGGAAGGCCCGTGTTGCTTGTGCAACAATAATTCCCCTCCCCCCCTATCGTCTCTCCCGCGTGCTCAAATACCTTTTTCCCGTTTGGTGTCCATGGACCGTTGAAATTAATCCTGGGTGGGATAGAAATAGATCGTCAAACGAAGACAGATAGAGTCGCATGCAAATGACCCACATGAGGCGTGTCTCAAAGTTCAGGCGGTTCTCTTTTTCCCTTAGTGACCCCCCTGTGGCACCCTCGGACCCGATTACGATTATAGAGCAACAATAATGCCGATGAGGGGAAAAGTCTCGACCTTGACGGCTTTAAGCGGGGTGGGAATTCATCGGGATCAATTTCATCTGAGCGAAACTACAATTGGCTAAACAATCACACTGTGAAGTCCGTTGCGAGGCTGCAGACCTTATGTGTGTGACAAGACAGGGATATCGGGACGAGTTAATATCCCAAATATCGATTCTCGGGATGGGCGATGAGAGCAAAGTCTGTCCTTCCCTCCGTGCCCAGGGGAGGGGGGCCAAAATCCCCTGTCTAGCGCCATGCTCCTGACACGCTTATTGGATACCACTAATGCCTTGTCATCTACTTTAATAAGGTGATGAATCGTGGTGCATCAACGACCTGCCTCTCTTGGTATAGGTCCACCTTTAAGGCTTGCACATGGAATAACACGGAGACAGGTGGTCAGGATTTGCCGAGCTTGGAGTCGTGCTGAGCCTGCGTCTCTAGTTGCGATAAATACTCCGTTAGCGCTTTGCTCCCTGTCATGTAGAGCATTCACAGATGCTGACTTTCGGTTTTCCCACTACTGAGGCGACGGGATGAAGGTTTGGCGGGATTGGTCACATCGGAAGGAAAACTGGAGAAGGGAAAAAGAGTAAAATCAGAGCGGCCCTGACAACAGGTCTTGGTCTGGTCATGCATGAACAGCTTATACTGACATTGAGCCATGTTAAATGGATCGCAAAAAGAGAATACGAGGTCGTGCCCGGGATCGAACCGGGATTACAGGAATCAGAATCCTGGGTGCTAACCATTACACTACACAACCAGCTGTTGTTGTGGCTGTTGAGATTTCTAACTCTATGAGTCTAAATTTATGATTCCGGTGGTAAGGGAAAAGAAAAAGAATAAATACGAGGTCGTGCCCGGGATCGAACCGGGATTACAGGAATCAGAATCCTGGGTGCTAACCATTACACTACACAACCTGTTGTTGTCTGCAGCGGCAACAATTCTGATTTCTAGAGCCAACATTACAGGTGAGATAAATGGTTCATGCTAATTGTTCCATGCAGAAGTTGTTTTGTTACAATTGGTAAATAGTGCACTGCTATTATGCAGTAACCGCTGCTCTACAATATCAGAATACTTTCTTTTCTAGTCCCAATGGTATGGAATGATACGATTGGGGGCAGACAGCTCCCTACAGCAAACTTCTCTATATCTCCAGTCTCCTATGAATATGTTACAGGGGCAGATATTGTATATACACTAGCGGACATCCATGATAGGTGATCGTCATATCGGCCAGGACACTGGTAATTTTATTTTGTTTTGACCAACGGGGGATATGATAAAGGGCGGTTACGGCCAACTTATGAGCGACAACTATAGTTAAAGGTGAGACGCTCCTCCTATACATCATCGACCGCCCGGGGCGCTTAGCAGCCGTGGTGTAGATGTTTGTCCAGCCAATTTACATGTATACTATCAGCACATCATGTATGTGTGATATCATGTTAAGGTGACGAATATGAAACCTTGCGGTTCATATCTAAGTGGGCCGTTATGTTATCAGCTTTAATGACTGGAGCATCTTCCAACGTTTCCATGACCCCTTCATCCTGGGCTATATGGGAAACTAATATGGCTGGCTGGAGCTTTTAACTGTCACCCAGGGGCTGCTCTATTTATCTATAGGCCATGACTGGGACGTGGTATTAAAGCTATATCCAGGTCTAGCTTGGTATATCTGCAGGCTCTAGGGCGCTGCCGTATACGGGTGAACACCACGACCTGATAGCTCTCAGAAATTCACCTGGCTGGGCTATCCCTGTCTAGTGGTTAAAGGATTCCCGCCTTCTAGAGCTTGCCTCTCTGTGACTCCTTTCTGCTTGCGATCAGTTAAAGGATCTGAACATCTTGTCCAACGGGACGCCACGCGGAGTCAGTGCGCCCTCGTCCACTATATGATTCCTCACATTTCATGTACGTACCAGCCTTGGCTGCATCTCTCTGGCGTGCTCTAGTGGGATATCCCGGTATTTACTTTTGGTGGCCAGGAGCATGAGCCCTGGCCGCTCAGGTAAGACTCAGGTGGAACCCCTTCTTCATGAACAGCCTTGGCCGCCTGTCCCTGGTGCTGAGGTTGGTAGATGCGTCAGTCAATGACGTATCAGTGTGAATACTCGTCACATCATTAACTGCAATTTGGTTGTTTTATGGTTTATGGTTGGAGTAACCTCAGCAGGTCCTCCTGTCTGTGCTTCGTACCATCCGGGCAATACTCCCATGTTATTGTGTTGCCATGGGGGTAAAAAGCGCAGTTATCGCTTTATATTTGTCCTCTTGACAGTGTAAAACATTCTGATCCACAGATGCAGCCTACTCAGTCTATTGAAGATTTCATAACTGCTAGTCTTTGGTTGAACTACCCAACTTGGGGAGCAGTGCAACGTAGAAAATGTGTCGACAGATAATCTGGGTTCAGATGTATACATCTTGCTCGCTGATCACTCGATCCGCTCGGACATCGGGGCCCTGAGCTGGTGATAATGAGTTGACCGATACATCATGATGTATATATTTTGGGCTGGGTTGGGACCAATCAATAGAGACATACAGGAAAGCCTTACACACATCTGGAATCTTTTGTTGACTAAAGTAAAGATTGTTTATGTTAAGCACATCTACCTAGTTTATGACTTAACTATACTAAATACAAATTTTTTTGTTAAAACAAAAGTTCTGTATGACTTGATCTGAACACTGTTGGTTTGTTGAGATATTATTTTTCAATTTTAACCTTTTGTAACATATTAGCTGAGAGCTTCTCAACAACCAGCGGTTGTGTAGTGTAATGGTTAGCACCCAGGATTCTGATTCCTGTAATCCCGGTTCGATCCCGGGCACGACCTCATATTATCTTTTTCCAATTGAACAATTGATCTGGGTGGTTAGTTCTATGGATATTTTCTTTTTCTTACCTATCAGGCATTTATACAATGTGGAAGATGATCCACTCCCATTTAGCTAGGACACTCGGTGGCTCGTACTGCTTGTCAATGATACTTTGAATGCGGAATCGTCCATGGTATTCCTTCCTTTGGTTTTGATAACCCTATGTTATTCAACACGGTTATTGGGGTATCAAGCCGTGTCTTTTTTTGTATTTACAATCTAATTCAGTCAAGGGGAGGAGGCGAGGGTGATTTTTTCCCCCTGTTTACTATACAGTAAAGGTCATCGATTTAGCCAGGCCTTACCTACCCAACATGTCAGCATATCATAGTAGAAGTAAACCACGTTCGACAGTACGCAGCATTCAGATATCAAAGGTTACCTACACTCCTCGTAGAAAGTCGACCTTCTTTGTATGATCACATTCGGGGCTATACTGTGATGGGTCTTATGTAGACATGTCTTTGTTTGCTAGTGTGAGTGGTCTGACTGCTAATTTTTTTTTTTTTTCTATTCATTTTTGATCTGGGGTGTTTGTGATTTGTAGGACTGGTATTTGGGGCTAGGGGTGTGATAGTAGTTTATTTCTCAAGGCTGGGAATAGTACTGATAGTCCCTTGGGCCCTGTGAGATGAAGTATAAGGATTATAGAGGAGGTGATATATAGAACAATACTTCCACAACTACACACCTAGAGTACTCGTAGTAAAAGTGTCAGGAGGCACTTTTCGAGTGTCATAGCCAGATGATGGGCATAGCTCATAGTCATACAGCACAGGTTATACCAGCCAAGGAAAACAAGAACAGAAAAATGAGGATGTGTGACGAGTTTGATCGGTGGATGAGTTCGGAAATTCAATAGTTGCTCTACTGACTGTTTGTCAGCCGCAATTTTGATACATGCCCACATATCTAGGTTTGGAGCTGAATCGTACGCATCCTATGTTAGTGGGATTTAACTAGAACGAAGATACACGACTTCTGAATATTATGGTAGGTTGAATGTTGAATGATTCTATGCCCGTGGCCAGGCAGCATGGTTTCAGTTCTAGGGTCTTGGCTGCTACGTTGGGTGGCTTATCTTCAGCTATATACTTGGGGCTTAACAGTTGTAGGTGTTGCTTTGAAGGCTTTATCGTAGAATCTGTGTCTCTTGGGGTGTATTATTGGATAGAGAGCTCGTAGGTAGGGTTGCATTAATGTGAGCTGCCATGTCATTGGCATAGATAGGACCGGGTGGGTTGCTGGCTTGTAAAAATCTGCATTCCAACTCTGCGGAGAAGATAAGGTGCCGGAGGAGTTCAATGAGGGATGATTAAAAAAGATTTTGTCTCTTTGGTAAGAGAGGACAAGGTGGTAGAAGGGAGATAGAGACAAAAAAGGTCGTGCCCGGGATCGAACCGGGATTACAGGAATCAGAATCCTGGGTGCTAACCATTACACTACACAACCGCTGGTTGTTGGAAGGATATCTTTTTTATGATAAATCAAGGTAGTGATATAACAAGAGCTCAAATGTCTACGAAGTATGTGATGTTGGGGGGTGTGTGGTGACTGTCTTTGGTTGAACAATGGGTATTGTTGAAGAGCCTTGGTGAGTATACATTTATGGTCGAAGTCCAGCCATTCATAAGTTTGTAAATGAAAGGGTCAACAAAAGTCCACACTGTAAAGTTTCTCTCCGACTTAAGCTGAACTCAATGCATCGTAGAACCGCCCGATTATACTTTGTATCCATTGATACACAGCCAAATTAGGGTTAAGTGGGGTGTTTCACATCTCCGGTTCGCCGTGTAACTTACAGGTCAGGATTGTAATGACTTGGATGCTGGATAGGGTTTATTGTAAAACAGCCTAAGCATGTAATTAATTCGGCATGTACGACATGAAGGAGGATATGTTGCCGCCTGCTCGTCAATTAAGTTGGAGAGATGCATTTGGTTTATCATTGTGGCTGTGTGCATTCAGGTAGGTAGCCCGTTGGCTAAGCCACTTAAGCGCCTGTTTTCTGTTCTCTAGTACTAGTAGTTAGGGATACAGATATCGCCACTGGAAATCGTTGTTAAACTGACTAGGAAATTCATTCCATAGCAGGCAGCAATAATCTGAATACTGCAGAAGTGGAACATTCTATCTATTTTTGTCATTTGGGTGGTGCCCGATACTTGATTCGTTAAAATAGTAAAAGTCATTGTATATACAAACGCACGAATGAAATTAGCCAAAAGAAAACATTTTATTCCTCGTCAGCTTCCATTTCGTCGTCTTCATCCTCGTCTTCGTCATCGTCATTGAACTCCACACCCATCTCACCGGTGATATCCCACCGGTCTCCCTTGGCGGCAGCGCTGACGTATTTGACGAACTTGAGGGTGCCACTGTCGCGCAGGACAATGCTCAATCGGTTCCAGCCGGCAGCAGTGCTGAATAGGATGCCGTCATCCTCGTCTGCGGCAGCAGAGCGGTAGATAGCTGCATCGCCCTCCTCTTCGTCGTCCCCAGCCATGTAGATCTCATAACCACCCACGGCGGGTTCCTCAGCATCACTCTTAGACTCCTTCTCCTTGGGCTCGGCCTTCGGCTTCTTCTCAGATTCGCCGTTCTCGCCCTCTTCATCATCATCTTCTTCTTCCTCTTCCCCGTCAGCCTCCTTCTCCCATCCTGGTGTAGGGGTTAAGGACAACGTGAACTCCAACCGAGGCTCTTCGCCATCGTAGCCGCTAGCCAGAGTGTAGTCTTGTCCGCGGCGGAAGCGGCGTGCCATAAAGTCGTAGCTTGTGAGGCGTTCCGCACCGGTAATGGCGGCGAGCCATTTGCGGAATGCGGGGGAGGGAAAGACGTCGTTGAGCAGCTCCTGAAGGGGGCTCTTCTCGTCCTGTGCAACTGTCGAATGCTGCAGGAACATGTAGCGCTGCTTGTGAGGAGGACGGGCGACAGTCCATCCGGTCTGGGCCTGGATCTCATCTGATGATTGGGGAAGCATCTTCTTCTCCTGCTCCTCGATATATTCCCGCACGCGGGCAGAGAATTTCTCCGACAGGAATTGTTCCAAGTTGAGCGATGACTCGTTGGTGAAGGTCTCTGACATCTCCTCCGCGATGTCTGGGGTGAGGTAGGATGGTGCGATGTACTGGATCAAGAAATTGAGATCGGCCTCGGTAAATTCGCTGTCATTGGGTTGCTCCTCCACTTTGCCTTTGCCCTTGCCCTCAACCTCTTGCGACTCATCCTCGCACACGACCGTCTTAGGCTGGGGGAGGTCGTAGATGTCACCGCGTCCCTGAAGCTGAGCGAGACTACTCCGCTCGGCAAGCTTCTCCTCTAGGCCCTCCTCGTAGCCATCCTCTCCCTTCTGAGGGATATGGAACCATCCGCTGATGGCCATGCGCACCCGCTTCTTCGACCTATCATCGCCCTCTTTGTAATGGTAAACCTCCTCGACGTCATGGAAACTCTCACCAGGCTGGACGGTGAAGAAGCTCAACTGGTTGAAGGCGGGCGGGATGCTGAGACTGAAGTCGGGGCTGGGGATCTTGACGTCCTCGCCCTGTGCATCCTTCTTCGTGGTCGTGGGGTACAGGCGCAGTGCACCACCCCATTCCGCCTGCCAGGGGGTGTCCGGATCAGTCAGATACAAGATGTAGCTGACACGTCTGCTTCCAATGACATCGTCATGGCACAGAAGATGGCATCCCTCGTTGTAGATGTTGATAGCCATATCGGTCTTGCGACCACTCAGCTTGCCCGAGCCAGTCACGGACGACAGGTACTCACGAAAGCGGGCGGAGTACATGGCATCACGAAGCTTCAGCAGGGAGGGGAGTCGCGAGAGGGATGTATCGTCCAGCCCGTCCAGGTTCGCCAGATCTCCCGACTGGAAAATCTTGTAGATATCCGTCTCTTTCTCGGTGAAGTCCAAGTGCTCTTGGATTTCGTTGCGGACCGCGCGCAGCAAGGAAGGCTCGATGAGGGGATGGATGACTCCATGCTTGTACCTTGATTGATAATCAGCATTCTACACATGTGGATCATTTTCTCCGATGTGTGGTTGTGAGAACTCAGGTGTCGACATACGGTGCGGACTCGGCGTATTGCTCCGTATACTTCTGTTGCTCCGAGGGTTCAAATAGGCCATCGCGGAAGCGCGCGGCGGCTTCTTCGCTCGTCAATGCCCGTCTCTTGGAATCCGGCTGGCCACTGCCACCCAGCGACTCTCTTCCTTCGGTCTTGCGCTTCATATTATCCGTAATGTGAGGAGATTAGGAAGAGGGGAAGACGGAGAGATTGTCGACCTGATTAGGTTTGGGGGAGATCCTTTTTTTTTTTTTCTTCCTTTTTTTGGGCGGTGAGAGATTTAAAGGCAGCGATCAGGCCACAAATCAGGCCATTTTTCAAGAGTCAAATTAATTACTTGATATAGTTTTGTTATTTTTTTTTATATAAATAAAAAAGGTACTACTGTAGAGCACTCCTTTTTCCTGTTTAAATTCTTTAGTGAATAGATCCCATTTTCTGTAGCTTCAAAATATCCATGATATTGTGAGTCTCAACTATAACTAAGAAATATTTTGACTTGAATAGAATTTCATAGAATATACCTGTAGGTTCGTAATTTCCATAGTAATTACTAAAAATAACTGTTGACTTACAACAACAGAAAATGTATCGCATCACATCGAAATGTGTACCTGAAAAGTTGAGGGGTCGAGTTTGGACCAAGAGAAGCAATAAAGTGTGCATTTAAGACGTCATCAGCCGATGAGCATAAACAACATCAATCAATCAATCAATCAATCAATCGATCATCCACCACCGCCACAACAACAACTCGGCCACGCGATTATCATCACCATTCCAGAAAATAAAACAGAAAAACCCTAAATCTCAGTGTCCGACATTCAGATTCCACATGGACAATTCAGGCACCATGCAGCCCACTCAGGACAATGAAAGCAATCCGAATGATCGGCCAGGGACTCCACCGCGCCCGCCTTATTCCCCAGTAACTCCGGTCTTCGCTCATCTTGCCCCAGTCCATAACGCCTCCACGTCCAACGGCGCGCCATCACATCCCATTGTACCCCCGGCCTCGTCACCGTCGCCAACAAGTCGCGCTGGCGGCGCAACCGCCTCGCTTCCTACGACACCGGCCGTCTTCGCGCCGGAGCCTGTTGCCGTGCCGATCTCGGAAAGCGAGAACCCCGATGCGATCGCGTTGCGGTCCACCATCTCGATTCTACAGCTTCAGAAGCAGCAAAGTCTGCGCGATATACGGACACTGGAGAGGCTGAAGCAAGCGGCGGCGGCCGATCCCGAGGGGTTTGCGCGCGAACTGGCGGCGGGGAATCTGACGGCGAAAGACCCCGGGGGTTTCGTGAATTTCACGCATGATGAGGAGGACGAGGGTGATGAGATAGGGGTTTCGAAGGAAGGAGGCGCGTCGGGTCTGGGGACCTTACCTACACCGCAGAATGTAGTACGCATGCCACCGATCAACTGGAACAAGTATCAGATCGTGGGCGAGCCGCTGGACAGGATGCACGAGGATCAACGACGACGTCCGTCTCCCGGGGAGCCTAGACGAGAGGAACCTGCACAACGGGCACCGGAGCATGTTCTCGCATCACCATATCGACCGCTAGTAGATAAGCTAGAAAGCCCGGACAAAGTAAAAGGAGCCAGCAGGAACAAGAAAACATAAATATTGAAGAAGAGAATTCTGCGATTGGTGAAGCTAGACTCTATGGTACAGTCTCATTTGAAACGGTTTCACTTTGAGCAATAACAACGGTAGCGTTCATTCATCATGTCTCGTTTTACAGGGGAGAAAGACAAGCAAGAAGACAATGATGTATGCCTGCCGGTCTGTTACATGTCGCGCTGCGAATGCCGAACTAAGTTAGGGGACTCTCGGTCTAGCCGGGTCAAAGAAAGCAATGCCAGCATACCACAGCCGGCTGCGAAGAATAAATGGAGGAGAGGTCTACGATAGAGTCTTTCTAAAGTCCTCGATGTCGGCGATGGTCTTCAGGAGTCTATCGTGCGCCAGACTAACCCTGTTGTACACCACCCTCGCATCCTCCAGTTCTTCTTCGACGGTACGACCCTCAGGAACCTGCAAGTTCGGAGTCGGGGCCGTTGCCTGATATCTGGGTGCTCCGAACTGGGTTTCTGCCTGACGAGCTCTACCGTGCAACTGACGTACTGACTTCTTTCTGAGCTCGTCACGATTCTCCGGCTTTGTCTTAACTCGCTCTATGACCGCCTTGCTGACTTCATGCGTCTTGACCCACGCCTGGGCTTTGTAACAGTCTGGCTTAACCTTCTTAAGTATGTCTGCGATGGTGTCATTAGAGAGTGGAGCTCCTGCAACGATTTCTCTTTCAGCAGTTGGGGGGCTCTAGGAGGTCGATCAGAGAAGGATACAGATTTGGATATGGGAGGTTAGGTTTTACCGCATCAACACGAGCTCTGATCGCATGGGTCAAAGTAAAATCGCCTTCGGACAGCTCGAAGGGCTCGTCAAAAGAAGCTTGCTTAGCGGCCACATATCGAGCTCTCAACGTTAAGTCGGTTGAGAAGCCATCCATGGTGAAGATCTCGCTGTCGTTTTCCTCGTTACGCTCGCACTTAGTCTTGTTGGAGTCAAGAGATTCAGCACCAGGGGAAGGAATGGGGCGCTTCTTGGAAGCTTCGTTTGCCTTTTTTTCCATGGCGGCGTTAGAGAGTCTGCGAAGAGTCAGGCCAAAGAAGAAAGCTATGATGATAGTAATAAGCTGTAAAGGCAACATAGTGGAGGACACGCCTAGTGATGAAAATGTAAAGAGAGTGAGATATAGATAGAATAAGAGAGTCGGGTTAGAGAAGAGACTTCTAAGAATGAAGAAAGAAAGATTGTATATGAATGTGTTCTCAGTAGGTTAGGTTCTGTGACTTACCCAGACCTTCTGTGAGATTTCTTTGATCCCATGCTGCGAGGTAGAGATCGCGAACTTGTGATGGTAGATAGAAGAAGGTGCGCGAGCAGGAGATGGTAAGTAAGAGAACTTTAAGACTGTGTAGCACACTAGAGACAGTGAATGAATGAAGAGGATTCTATGAAAATCAAATCCATGGTCTTTGTTCTGCACCTGAGGGTTAGTTTGTGATATCATTCACTCTTCTGATTTTAGGCAGGGCTGCCTTATGAGCTGCAAACTTATAACATGATGTCAGTATGTACACTACTGTTAATATCATAAAGTAGTTGCTGTATATCTTTCATATCCCTAGGTAGTAGTACTGCGCTTATTGGTAAGTCTGCAGCGTTTTAGGTGACTTGATAGTCAGAATTTATGGAACAGTAAAAGAAAAACATAGCTTATCATACTGTGTTATAAGCAAGGTGCTGTATAAATTCAAATAAAATCTCTGATATTGCAGAAGGCGCCAGATAATGTATAAAAACCACAGAGACACGTACTCATGATCTAACTGCTGCATCATCCAGATGCTGTATCCCCGGCGGCTCTATTTACATATGGCCAAAACCCCTCACGAAAAGAAGCGATTATTCGGACGTGGAAGACCGAGGTGCTCTCTCAAGGTTGTCCCTTCATAATCCTGACGGAAAATGCCACGACGCTGCAACTCAGGTACCAGTCGTTGAACAACGTCATCCAGTCCCTGTGGCAGGAATGGGAATACGACAGTGAAACCATCAGCGCCCTCCTCATCCAGCCAGACACCCATTTCCTCCGCGATTGATTCAGGCGTACCAACAAAGGCAAGCCCTGAGTAGCCCCCATATCGCTGTGCAAGCTGCCGTACGGTCAACTTCTCATCTTCGGCAAGCTTCAGGACTCCAGCACGGCCTGTCTTGCTCGCATTAGTCTCGGGGATATCCGTCGGTAGTGGGCCATCTGGATCAAATCCGGATGCGTCAGTTCCGAGCGCAATGGATAAGGAGGCGATGGCACTATCGTAGTGGACGAGACTATCAAGCTTGAGGCGCTTGTCTCTGGCCTCTTCCACACTGTCACCAACAACGATGAAGGCGGCCGGTAGGATCTTGATATGGTTACGATCCCGACCAGCTGCGACTGCACGGCCCTTGATGTCCGCATACAGCGCCTTTGCAGACTCCAAGTCCCTTGGTGAGCAGAAAACCGCTTCAGCCGTTTCGGCTGCTAATTGTTTTCCTGGCTCGGACTGTCCCGCTTGAACGATCACAGGCCAACCTTGAACTGGCCGCGCGATGTTCAGCGGTCCTCTGACTTTCAGATCGTCACCCTTGTGGTCGAGAACATGCAACTTCTCCGGATCAAAGTAGACACCGGTCTCTTGATCGCGGACGAAGGCATCATCGGCAAAACTATCCCACAGCCCGGTAACAACATCATAGAACTCCCGAGCCCGCTTATAGCGGTCGGCATGTTCCACATGTGTATCCAATCCAAAGTTCTTCGCCGACTCTGGATTACCAGTGGTGACGATATTCCAAGCCGCGCGGCCGCTGCTGAGATGATCCAGCGAGGCGAACCGTCGCGCGATATGGTAGGGCTCATCGTATGTCGTGGATGCTGTCGCCGCGAGCCCAATCTTCTCTGTTACAACAGATAGCGCTGAGAGTAGAGTGAACGGCTCGAAGGATGTCACGGTGTGGCTGCGTTTCAGCGCCTCGACCGGCATGTTCAGCACAGCAAGGTGATCGGCCATAAAGAAGGCATCGAATTTGGCATCTTCTAGCTTCTTGATGAAGGATTTGAGATGGGTGAGATTGAAGTTGGCGTCTGGATAGGCGCCGGGGTATCGCCATGCGCCGGTATGTAAGCTGACTGGCCGCATGAACGCGGTCAGATGTAGTTTTTTCTCAGGCATGGTTTTCTACACTGGGTCTCGTGTTATGGGCTGGATAGTAATGTATGAGAGGGAAGTTCCCGGTATTAGTCCGCGGGGTTGAAGGCAGCATTATCGTGGTCTATATACATGTTCGCTATCTGGTGATGACAAATGGGTTCGCGGATGAGTGAAATTGAGGTTGCGATCACGACATCGATAGCCTATCGTGTGATGAGTATCTGGATCGCTCAACATGGTTTACAAAGCAGGATTACTCAAGCTATGAGACAAAGTGGAGTTGATTATGGAGATGAAGATCTCTACAGTAAAGCGTATACTTTGAATGCGTGATTATCATACGTGTGCCAGCTGGGAAGATCGATACTTTGTGTGAATTCTGGTTTCCATTGAAGAATCTCTTATAGGATACGATAACACATTATCTTTCAAAAAAGAAAAGCAAGAAAAAGGAAAGAGATGAATATTACTTATATGCTAGTTATGATTAATGTGGCATAGTGAAATACAGACAGCATCAACTCATTCAGAACGTGCATTACAAATTTTGAGCGAACAACGGCTGAATCTAGATATTGTACTCTGATTATTTCTAAATCAGTCTGATTGGAAACTGATAATTTCCAACGTAGATGCTTCTTAATATGTTAAACGACAATAAAGACTGAACCTAGAAAACCAAGAGGGTTAGGGTTTATATCGGAGCTCCGCGATGCTATTATTTTAGTGTATAGTGATAAAGGGCCTTGCAAGTATATTTTAAACAGATGCTATTGTACATAAACTACATTATAGAGATGAAGATAAGGGTAATTTAAGGAGGACGACCTATTGCAATACCTTGATGCAGATCCCTAGTCTACCGTACAAATCTCGACATAACATGCCTGCTCGATAACATACCCAAAGTTTGCACCGGGAGACATACTAGACATCACTGTATTGTCGCAGTGTGAGTAAGCCAGTATATGTTCCTGAACATACCGTAGACAATGAGTCTTGAAGTGTCATTATGAGTTGAATTGGCAGAGATCGGCTGCAGAAAAATGTAGATCAGTCGTTGAGCCGCCGATGCGAAAACATGATAATTAGTACAGTACATACAACCACATGGATAGTGATTTCGACCCAATATTTGTGATATCACATGTATGAGTACAATAGCCACTATTGCCACAGAACCATCAAGAGAATACTACGTACGGTGATCGACAACCTCGTATTTGATTTCCCTTACAGTGCACAAAAACTTCGGCTGGGGAAAAGACGATCTGCTATCGGGATGAGAAATTTAGCCATTCAAGGCACGAAATAATTTTGCCAAGGGAGTTAGTTACGATGGCTTTAAGACCGACAGTCCAATATCCACGAATCTAAGGCTTTGGAGAATGCAACCCAAGACCCATTGCCACGAGTCCTGAGAATCCCGGTGTGGGTGGCCTAACATACGAGTCACGGTGGTTGCAACATCATGACTTGTACATTCGGACATTCATAACAAGTGCAATTCTAGACTTCATTGTGACCACGAAACTAGGATCATGGATGGCTGAAATAAGATGCCAACCATGCACAAATAATAAATGGGAAATACGACCGACCCTTTTAACTTTGAATTCCGGGAGACGTTACATTTAAATTTGCCTTGAAGGTGATAACAAACAATCGATCGACCTGGTCTGAAAGTCAATCTCCTGCCTCTTTCGTTGTATGTTTTGGACCCCTCTTTTGCTTTCGCTCCGTTTTACATTCCTGAGTTTATTCTTATTCGGCCACGTTGTAGGATTCTGTCCCTTCTTCATTTGTTCTTCATCATCATCAGCAGCAGCAGCAGCATGTATTCTCACCTTGTTTGAAATCCTTCTCCAGAATGATCGAGAAAAAGATGACGGAGGCAAACGGCGACCAACCAGTCGCGGATGCAATACGCACACAAGCTACATCTTCTCAAGCAGTGGACGATGCCTGGAATTTCTTGGGCAAACACGGCAATGTCCAGTACACGGACTTGGACCTGGTCGCAATCCGTCATAAAGTTGATCGGCGCATTTTACCCTTCATGTTTTGTTGCTATTTCCTACAATTCATCGATAAAGTGATGTATAATGTCAGTATCTCGAACCCTTGTCCTGACCTCGCTAATCCCCGGCTCCAAAGTACGCAGGGGTCATGGGAATGAAAACAGACCTGGACCTGAAGGGAAACAACTTTAGCAATGGCGCAAGTGCCTTTTTCATTGCATCCTTGGTTGCTGAAGTTCCAAATAGTAAGCGTCTTATTATCCCTCCTACTAACAGGAAGGCTCATCGGAATATTAGCATATCTTCTCCAGAAGGTCCCCCCGGCAAAATGGCTGAGCATCAATGTCATGCTCTGGGGCGTTGCAGCAGCGGCGGCGGCCGGCGCAAAGAACTATACGACTCTACTTGTCGCGCGTATATTCCTTGGGATTTTTGAAGCCCCGGTAGCGCCATCCCTGATGATTATAAGCGGTCAATACTATACAAAATCTGAACAGGCTCCAAGATTTACATTTTGGTTTTTAGGCCTCGGGGTAGCCCAAATCATCGGCGGATTGATCTCCTTTGGCTTCCAACATGTACATCATGCATTCGCCGGCTGGCGTATCATGTTCCTTGTCATGGGATTGATAACTGTTGCTGTAGGACTGGCCACCTTACTTTTCCTTCCAGATACCCCAATGCAGGCGAAGTGGTTATCAGACGATCAGAAGGTGACGCTACTTCAACACGTTCGTGTGAATCAGACCGGCATTCGCAATGGCAAGTTTGATCCTAAGCAATTGCTGGAAGCAGCTCTTGATCCTCAGGTGTGGCTGTGGGCGTTGATGCTCGCCTTGGTAAGTTCAATTCCCTACCTGCTAGCCCCTTCCAAGGGTGGTCCACAAAGGAAAACTCCTAGTCTACGAGGAAAAAGGAGGGCTAACCTGCAT